ACCAAGCACCAAGCACCAAGCACCGAGCACCAAGCACCGAGCACCAAGCACCGAGCACCAAGCACCGGGCACCAAGCACCGAGCACCAAGCACCGAGCACGGAGCACGGAGCACGGAGCACCAAGCACCCAGCACCAAGCACTGAGCACTAAGCACTGAGCACTAAGCACTCAGCACCGAGCCAAGAGCACTGAGCCAAGAGCACCGAGCCAAGAGCACCAAGCCAAGAGCACCGAGCACCAAGCACCAAGCACCAATCACCAAGCACTGAGCACCAAGCACCAAGCACCCAGCACTGAGCCCCAAGCACTGATCACCGAACACCAAGCACGGAGCACCAAGCACGGAGCACCAAGCACGGAGCACCAAGCACGGAGCACCAAGCACGGAGCACCAAGCACGGAGCACCAAGCACGGAGCACCAAGCACTGAACACCAAACACCGAACACCGAACACTGAACACCGAGCACCGAGCACTGCAAAAGCATACCTTGCAAGTGTTAAGTTTCCAGAGAAGAAGCTTGTCCCTCACATCCAGGATGCAATTATCGAAAAGAATTGTGTTGGCAAGCCCAACGAAGTTACAAACCAAGATTTCAAAAAATAGCTCAAARAAGAAATACCATGAGGCTTGGCAAGTTTGTGTCACAACAGTCAAAGTTTGGCAAGGAAAAACTGGTTAGGTAGGGTATTCTTAGTATATTAATGGGGAGAAAAAGTAAGAAGAAGTAACCAAACACATGGCCTCTCAACAAGATATTTCTTTCTTGATTGTCCTTGTTTTCACAGCTGATATGAACGGTTCCCTTTCCCCCAATGATGTTGTTCCTGATGATTTTCCAGGAGCTGTTGGATTGGTGAACGACAAGGGTTCAGATTGCCCTGGTTYRCGATGGACCCTTCAKAAAGAGTATCRGGAACACAAGGAGGAGTTGGCTGGTGGGGAAGCATTTTATTACTTCGTCACCAAAATATTGTCCGCCATTACCCCAACCCGCACCAAAATTTGCAGGAAGACGGTGTCATTGACATAAATAGCTATGATGGTAAGGAYGGTGAGGAGGAGTCRGATGACGATGACGAATGCTACATTGACMMATTGATTAGGGATCAATGGAAAAACAACCACGGTGAATTGGAATGCACACAGGTTGAGGGGGTTTAAGGATTATTTGCAGTACATAAAAATGGTAGCCAAACTTTATTAAAAAAGAATGGAATCTAATGCACCTAAAATGGTGTCAAAAAAACAAATGCATGGATCTCACTGGACCTTTCGAAACAACCAAACATTTAAAATTTAATTGAAATAATCAAAAATGTGATTCGAACGCTTGTACCATACAATTCTAGCTGCACCTGTTGAGAGAACCGAACATTTCAAATTTAATTGAAAAAATCAAAAAGTGATTCGAAAACTTGTACCATGGGATTCTAATGTAGCACAAAAACATTAACTCAACCACACCAAAGTAGAATTGAAATAAATTAGAAATTTACTCGATCTTTTCTACCATGGAATTAAAAAATACAATTTGCGATCCCAATATGCAAACGTGAATAAAAATAAATTGGCACCGTGTGACTTGACATTTTGACAGCAGCCATCCCGTGACTTTCAAAATTAATTCTCAACCCCCACGACTCATCGMATATTTTTTTTWWWAAATTAATTGACAAGTGAGGTAGTAAGTCCGGTYRGGAATCGCAACCCACGTGTTATTTTCACTCACAAAATATGTTCATTCAGGGGTTGAGAATAGGTACAAACCCCGGAAATTTACAAAAAAAAGGGGGGTCGAAAAACAGTTAAGGGACGGAGTCACTGATACGGAGATGTAGTAGTAGTACACTGATACTATGGATTATGCTGATACTACTAAAAATTACAGAGGAGGACGCTGTTGATATGTAGGGCACTGATTTGGAGGACACTGATAGTACAGAGGAACCCAGTTTTAAAATTACAGAATTCGAAATCTGAAAAATCATGCAAAGAAGCAATGGGTGAAATGGGTTCAGTTGCTGAATAAATCCTGGCACAACCCTCATTCTCTGCACCAGAATTTTGCCAGAAGTTGATTGACAATTTTTAACGGTCTTTATTACATTGACGGTTACTCATATAACAGGTTTTAATTGTAAAAATGAGCTAAAACTTTCTACTACTAGTGTTTGTACGGGAATTGCCAATAACTTGCAATTGTGGGGCCCGTACTTAGTAGCTCTAGTAGGTAGTCGGAGTAGTCGTAGATCCAATAGCTTACAGTATGTGGTAATTCGCCTTTTCGTCATGTCCCTGTCGAGTTGTCATTGTTGTCGAAGTGTTCGCAATCTTGCGAGCCAGTCACTGGTTCATGAGCACTTTGCATTTTCTGATTCTCAATTTGAAGTATCTGTACTGTACATCGTACGCACGGTACGGTACACAGTATGCGAGGAGTTTCGCGCCACGAACCATGGTACCGGTACGTATCCTCTCACCGATCACGCCATACAAGCGCTTACGATAGCACTGCAAGACTTTTTAGAGGACCTCCTTTTTCTGCTTCGGTGGGAGTTCGTGTATCGATCTCACACCTGTATTTCGGTAGAAACGACGGCGTGAACCATAGCAGCCATCGGTACTGTCGTTGCTAGTTTATTATTGCTGTTTGCTACATAGTGTCGCCGCACTCCTGTTATTGATTGCAGACACCATCCAAAGTATCGAGCGATTATTTTCGAGACCGCCGAAACGGTTGTTCAGATTGACAATTCTAGTGCGTGATCGATTACCGCATTCAGCAAAGGAATACTTTTTTTTGAAACCCGTCGACTTCCAGGCGACCGAATTAAAAAACACACGTGATCACAGATTTTAAAATGGACGACATGGGCGCAATGGCTGCTATTGGGGGCACCGACATTCGGAAAGTCATGAAATCCCAGGGACCAATTGTTAGTGCAGTTATTCTCCGCTGCCCACCTCCATCCTCTGTCAATGGGAATGAAGATGAAATAGAGGACTCGAAACCGGCAGCCGTGGGGGATTCAAAAGAGAACGAAGAAGGCGACAATGAGGCGAAAACAGACGCATCAGAGACGTCAACGCAACGTATGATTTTAAGGGATCTGATCGAAGAGCTCAGAATAGATACGACGCCGAGTAAGTCAAAAGTAGCGGAGATCTTGGGTGGGTCCTTCACTTTTTTGGGTCAATACGAAGAGGAAGGAATCGTTTTGATGGTGAGGAACCTCCCCGATGACCTGGAATCGGATTTGAAAGCAATTTATGAAAATAGCGAGGAAGAGAATGATGATACAGGATGTTTTTCGTTTTCGGAACAGCTCTCGAAAAACTTCAATGTTCAGGCGCTCAAGGCGCTATGTTTTCAACGTGACATTGATACGGAACATATGAAAGAAAAGAATGAACTTGTCCAGGCTCTGGTCAACTACCAGAAGCTTTTGCCATCATTCAACACTCACCAATTGCAGCCGCCTTTGCATAAGGCTCGTGTTCGGGGAGATATTGTAGTAATGAAGGTAGCTGAGACGGCCGATGAACTTGACAGTGAGAATGGCGACGATATCGAACAGAAAACAGAAATCTCAATAGAGAATACCGAGGCAGCGAGCAAAAAGGATGCGATAGAGGTTCCTTCGAACGATGAGTTCTTTTTGGATTACTCCAAGGAGGCGTTTATCAAGTTTGCATCTCGCACTGATATTCCAGAACATGAAGTAGAATTACAAGAACTAGGAGGGGAAAGCGAAGAGGCAGTGAATGGGGTTGATGACGGGGACAATGACGATGACGACGACGACGACGACGACGACGACGAAGAGATTGATGAAAACGACAAATCAGCTATGTTTAATTTAGTAATGAACGAAGTCTTGCGTCAGTATAGAGAAGAAAATGGAAGGGGGCCGAATACAAAAGAACTTCTGGAACTACGGTCGAACATTGCCAGGGAGCTAGGAGTCGAAATTCCTCACGATATTGACGGGGACTGGGATAAAATGGCTAAAGAAAACCAGGTGCCTTCCGCGAAGAAAATCGTCTTCACCAAGGAAGCAGATAGGGTGAGAGAATACGTACCGGATGCCAACGAATACCCATCCGACAGGGACGACGACGACGACGACGACGATGATTATGACGACGAGGAAGAGTCACACCGTGTCGCACGCTCGTTAGAAGATGATCACGACGCATCGGACGATGTTGAGCATTCGGACCCTCCGCCAAAGAAGAGGTTAAAGCTTTCGGAGGAGCAAAATGACGGAAATGACTCCAAACCAGCAGCAGCCTCCACGCAAAACAGCTAAGTAATCATATAATGAATCAGGAGTCTATTGAACAATGTTTTATCGCATTTCCATCAAAGAGTAATGAAAAATGTGTTTTTCTCTCAAGGAATATTGTTTAGATACCATGCAGTAGCGAAATCACAGACCGTTCTTTTCGTTAACGATCTCACCAGTCGGGTGGCATGCTGTAGGAGTTCGCGTACCGCCGCACCGTCTCGATTGCACACCAACTTCAAATGAATCGTTTTTGTAATCACATTCAAACCCTTGTTGCTGTATACTATTATGCTAGCGATGGGACATTCATAGACTGATAGCAGATTAGCAGAGCCACTAGTAGTATATGAATTTGCGAGCAGGAATAAGCTGGAATAGTGTGAAAACGTTGAGGCTCGCGCAGTGACGAGCACTTGGGCAGATATAAGATGTGCAGAGGTCCTGTGTCCAGCAGGTGAGATGACCTACTACTACTAGGGAAGGATTTTCTTAGTAAACTTTCTTGTTGTTGGCGGTGAGGCTCCACCAGAACTATTACTACTAGTACTACTACTAGTGGTAGTACTAATATAATAGGTACTGACTGTCAAACCACCACTTAGCCAATGGATTTACTAATCGCCCTTCCTATTAGTGCTTTGAATGGAATGTCTAAATCAACAACAACAACAAGAAGCAACAATAACAAAGCTGTGTCACAGAGAGGCAGGGTTGTACGAGGAGTACTTCTACGACGCGCACGTACTCGAAGTAGCACCGTAGTTGGAAAGGGGAACGGAAGAAACGAAAATCATGAGGAAAATACCGTAGGTATGTTCATGCCGTACGTACCATACGATGACATCCGACACATAACCCAGGAAAATTCGAGAAGATACAAACATCCCTACGTACCTACGGTACTGTACCATTTTACGTACCGTTGTTCGTTGCGGTAGCAAAAATCAAAAATGCATCATGAATCATGACTCATAACACTTTCAGCGGGTGAAATGTACTGTACGGCAATCCCGTAGTTCGGTACGGTACGTAGGTAGTGCAGTCTTACGAATACGAACGTACTCGCCATACGGGTAAGTACGTACGTACTCTTACAGGACGAACCGATTTACACAAAAGATTACGTATTTACGGTACGTTAAGTACGTTCCGTGCACAGAGGTACAATTATGTCTGTTTGTTTCGACATGATCTCATTTGAGGGAATTTCCCCCCCATTGCACGCGCCAGCTCAGATATAGCACGCGCAGCGCACATTGTTTTAGAGCTCTTTCTTGCCACAGAGGGGGCGTCGACCACCCGATTACCCTAAAAGACCGAAATACTGTCAAACTGACAGCACATCACAGCTGAGTTAACTAACGGTTCTTTGAACATCAATCAGTGGCCAACAGAATGCGAGGGCCGCAGAACCTTCTTGGTATCAAACCCATCAGCACCTCCATCAGCGCCTTCATAACGCATCTTATTCTATCGCTCGCATGCAAACGATTTACTTCGTTTTTCGAAGCATCGGCACAACATTCACACACACCAGCGACAATTGTAGCACACCACTTGCTGGTTTGAACCGATTGCACCTTTGTATCCCCTTACCAAACGCAAGGAATCATTAGGCGAAGGGAACTATGTCATTTTGTATACAATCATTGAATATGCTGCAATTGCTTCTTGTCCTACTTTTGGTGGATGTCTCCTACTCATCTCATACTTGGGGCGGAAAGTCGAGCTCTGCTTCAAGCAAAAAGAGTGTCTCATTTCATCCATCCTCTCGCAGCCGACTTGAAGAAAAATACGGATTTCGCCGTGATCGAAGGAATGCAAACTCTTTTAAGTTGCATAATGTTTTGAGTAAGAATATTAGAGGAGGGGATACAAATAACAATAACGATATACAACCGTTGAGGGGCGGAAGTTTGAAAACGGAAAAGGGACAAATATCAGAGAATATTTCCTTAAAAAATAAAAAGGTGCACAATATAGCTCTCAATGCCGCCGCCGCCGAGGCCGCCTCTACGTGGTCCAGAAAAAGCATGTCCTATGCCGACGGATTTGTAGAACCAATTTGTCGTCAGGATGATGATGGAACGCGTTTTTCGTTGTTTCCCATCGAACACCCAGATCTATGGAGCATGTACAAACAGCATGTAGCTTCCTTTTGGACGGCCGATGAAATTGATTTGTCGGCAGACTTGACAGACTGGCAAGAAAACCTCACGAAAAACGAGAAGCATTTCATCAGCATGGTCCTGGCATTCTTCGCGGGGGCTGATGGGATTGTCGTTGAAAACTTGGCCGAAAGATTCTGTCGAGATGTTACAGTGCCCGAGGCACGATGCTTCTATGGATTTCAAATGGCCATGGAAAGCATCCATCAAGAAACTTACTGTTTGTTGATTGATACATACATTACAAACCCAAAAGATAGAGAGCTCCTATTTTCGGCGCATACTCGCGTACCAAGCGTTGAAAAGAAGGCAAAATGGGCCCAACGGTACATCGGATCCGACGCTTCCTTCGCTGAACGGCTCGTGGCCTTCGCTGCTGTCGAGGGAATCTTTTTTTCTGGTGCATTCTGTTCCATTTACTGGCTGAAAAAGAGAGGCCTTATGCCCGGTTTAACCTTTTCGAACGAGCTAATTAGTCGAGACGAAGGACTTCATTGTTCTTTTGCTTGCCAGCTTTACTCGAAGCTAGAACGAAGGCTGAGTGAGAAAGATATCCATCAGCTCATTGGAGAAGCAGTGGAAGTGGAAAAAGAGTTTGTTTGCGATGCCCTTCCTGTCAGTTTGATTGGGATGAACAAATCCCTCATGGCTCAGTATATTGAGTTTGTTGCCGATCGACTCCTAGGAGATTTGGGATATAGGCCCATGTTTGGAAGCAAGAACCCCTTTGATTGTGAGTTTTTTCCGTCGTTCCCACGATCTGAAGTTTTGTTTGTTCTGGTACTAGTGTTCGCTGTTTTTTTGTAAGGTCATTTTCTCATATCTTGCTACTATCATTTTTTGGTGTACATAGGGATGGACATGATAAGTTTGGAGGGCAAGACGAACTTCTTCGAAAAGAGAGTAGGAGAATATCAAAAAAGCGGTGTCATGGCCAACCTCGACCAGACTACTGCGGGAACACGTGGGAACTTAAATTTCGATGCTGACTTCTAAAGCGTAATTCAGGAGTCAGTGCAAGAATACATCTTGCTACGACGGTTTTACCGAAGTTGCAGCGGTCACTGCGACGAGATCCAGAATCTACACTTTTTTCAACGGTAGGCAAGTGATTCATCCAATCCCCCGTTGGCACACGTCTTACACACGATGTAAGTTGCAATAATACGCAACCATCAAATCAAATGTTTCGATTTTTGATGAATAAAATGGATACCTCCTACCACTTTTGTTGACAGTTAGATTATGTTGTGCAGAATACAATAGTATTCCAGAGTTCAAGTCCCGATAATTCTTAAATAATGTGATAACACTGTCATCATTGTCAACCATTCAATATCTCTTTGTGAATATCAAGTGGTGGACATTGTAGTGCACCATGTGAAAATGATTCGTTCCCTTATTTTTTAGTTGAATCAACGAAGGCAATGCGACAAAAACCAAGTTTACACGGGAGATGCTCCCTATCCCCCCCCCCCCCCCCCCCACCTGAGTACAACCCATTGTTGATCCCTTTTCCCAAGCTTTGGGTTCAACACATCGTCACGCACTGTAAGAAGAAAAAGTGAAATACCTGGGTGGATGCATGGAAGACCAGACTAGACAAGTTGACTAAGTGTAATGAATGCAACATGCAATAGAGTCTTGACGCCTGCAGCCGTTGCCATGGTATCGGATACGTTGAGCTCGGTACTATCTAGAGTATCAAAAGAAGGATTGGCCGACTCAACTGTCGCGTCTATTCATCCCTAGACCACCTCTATCGTTGTGTGGATGGAGACCGTGCTGGAACTGCGGGGAGTTGTCACGCGCACCAACAACACTGCCAAGGTGATTAAATTCCGGTACAAATTTTCCTTAGAGAACGCACCAAGTGGCCGTGAATGTCGGGATGATATCAAACGTCGTTCTCGGTCAATTGAGTTTCAACGAAGAAAAGGAGGGGTGTTTATATTAAGCATTATCAGTTTAACGGTATGATTTTTGGAATCGGGCACGGGCACTGCGTCCACCGTACTTCTTAGGCTCACAACGACGAGGATCACTGACGAGCAAACTTCTATCGTAATCAAGGATTGTCTTTCTCAGTTCGTTCTTTGAGGATTCGTCAACATACTTGGCGTGGTATGCAACGATGGACTTGGCAATGGCCGCTCGGATGGCGTAGATCTGAGCAGTGATACCTCCACCCTTCACTCTGATGCGAATATCGAGGTTCGAGAACTTGTCTTGTCCGATGATAAGAACAGGTTCGAAAGCCTTCATTGCAATAATTTGGGGTTGGATGTTCTCGATAGGTTGACCATTAACCTTGATGAGACCCCGTCCCTGTTTGGCAAAAGCCACGGCGGTAGCCGTCTTTTTCCTAGAAAGAAAAGTAGCAAGAGACGAAAAATCACAACAGCATCAGACGACATCCTTCAAAATCAAATGGTCCAAAACACATAGTTTTGGGGTGGAAACGTTCAGAAAGATGATTGTCATGGCTAACTCATGATTGTTGTCGTTCGTCCATCCGAAGGTGACATGGCACAATCACAGTTGCCAAAAGCGCCAATTCAACATTCCACCAATCGATCCTCCGAAGCCATTCTTCCCAGCCTTCAACCCCGTCACGTCCATTGTTCATCCACATGGTGTTTGAAACCACTGAATTTATCCAAAAGAGACTTACTTTCCGAATACTTGAACAGAGTTTACAGGCGCCATGGTGCAATTATTATCTATTCAAGAGTGCTCCTTGTAGGTGTTGCGTGTGCCGTTCCTTCAAATTGGGCGTTTTGTTGTTGGGACGACAATCCGCGCAAGAAACAGAAAATCGTACCGTGGGCGGAAGTGTGCTTTTTAGTAAGAAGTAATTGCGTAAAACTCCAACCTTATTGTAGTTTTCTACTTCGTAAGAACCACTTTATGAAGCAAGCGTTTTACGAGTACGTACCTTCATGACATACGGTAGTAATAGGATACTGTAGGAAACTTACCGGCAAAAACTTGCACAGTTTTAGTCACGCGCGCTTTGTGCTGTAAAAATTAAAAAGTACTGTAGGACCATGAAAATATTTCTAATACCTACCAAGTACGAGTAGTACTGTAATAAAGTACGGTAAAATATGATGGGTCGGCGTCTACGTACGGTAGTGTCGTGTGGAAGTGTCAAATCGAATGTACCTACCGGCCGGTACGTACGGTACGGTACGAAATGGAATTTTTCCGGTTTTCGATACACTTCTCTCCCACTTTTTCACAACTTGTGGTAAGTGAAGGGAACGACATCAACGATGGAGGAGGATGGCATTGTCGTCCGCGAGATATCAACAATCGCTCGGGATGACATCTCTGGAGAGATCGATCATGAAGGATCTGTAACGAAATCATCGTTCCAACAAAAACCTAATTCGAATCCAACCACCGAAGCAGAGAACACTAGGAAAAAGCCGTCCATACGACACGCCGAAAAGCGGCGGACCTCGACCTGCCGATTCGCGGATCGTGTTGCGCAGCTCTCGGTCGATCACTACAAACGCACGGTGCCCGCTGACAGGCGCCCGGCGCAGACCTGCATCGCTACGATTGTGGCCCATTGTCGGAAACACAACGGAGGCCGCGATGCCGGAGAGGAGCACGAGGACGGAGTCGATGTCAATGGCACCGGGACAGGTGAGGCCGACGTGTTGTGGGTTCTAGCAATGGGGATAGGAACCAAGTTCCTGCCGGAATCGCGACTGCAACGAGAAAGGGAAAACGAAGGGCAGGAAGGCTACGGTTCACGGGTTCGAGATATGCATGCCGAGGTTCTGGCTCGGCGAGCCTTTCGACGACAATTGACACTAGAAATCCAGGAGGATCTCAGGCTGCCAGCAGAAGAGCACGAACGACAGAAGGAAAGACCGTCCAATCGTGTCTTGGTTCGATCGGAGGACAATTCTTCCACGGTGTGTTACAGGATACGACCGGGTGTAACAGTACACATGTACTCCAGTTCGGCTCCATGTGGGAACGCTACACTGAAAAGGTTTTGCAAAATGTCTAAGGAAAAATTTCGAGACGATCTAGGACCCGATGAATGGCCTAGCGATGCACATGACCCACCATCTGGGCACAGTATCAAGCTCGGCGAATTTTCTTTGCTTGTGAAACAAGATAGCAGCAGCAGCAGCAATCCGCAAACAAATGAAGCCACAAGCAACAGCACGACGAATAGTGAGGAAAAGAACAAGAATACTTCCTCGAAAATGGATGCAAATATGGATTATGGCAGCAAGCCAAAACGAACGAGACTCGCGGGAGATCGGCCGCCAGCCTTGCGGACCAATATTTCCAAAGCATCAGCAACTTCACAGGGGCGAAAAACAGTCAGCCGAAGAGCAAAGCCATGGCCAGCAACTCTTTCGGACGACTGGACTCCCCCTGGAACCACCATTGTTGGGTTTCGACACAAGGGATCAATCCACACCTGCTCTGACAAAATTTGTCGCTGGAACTATTTGGGAATGCAGGGATCACTCCTCGCTAGTCTTATGGAAGAACCCATCTATATGTCGACCCTGACGGTCGGTAGGAAGCTCTCGGGACCTGTCTGCCGACGCGCTGTTTGTTGTCGACTCGATACACGTTGCCGACAACCGAACCTCGCTATTCCCTTGAACAACAGCATCCCACTCACTGGCCGCACGAACTCCAACAAAATTCAATACCGTGTGAACCATCCTGCTATTATGGGGACCTCGGTCTATTTGGACACGGGCGTGGTCGACACTAGCAACGTTGAAGAAAGAGGCCAGGATGTTCGATTCCATTCCTCCTTTGTTTGGGCTTGGTGGGCTGGATCATCTCAGTGCGGTGTTAACAGCAACAAAATACCAAATACTGATTGCTATGGAATATTAGAATGTATCGAGAGTTCCAGTGGACTTCTTGCGGACTTGTCGGCAGAAGTAACCGCGGAAAACGACATTGACAAAGGCATACGTAGCACTACTAGTGTCCCACAAGTGAGCACCAAATCACTGACATCTGCTTTCTTACAAGTGTTTCAGGAGGCATCGGGGAATGGAAGTTATACCAAAAATACTGCTGGCTATGCTAGTAGTGCAGCTAGCTACGAGAATAGCAACGACACGAAGTTGACGCCGGAAGGGGTCACTCCCGAATCATGGGAAAATGATACAAATACCCTCAACACACTTCGAAGCGTAAAGAAAAGGTTTTCACCCATCCACGAAGAAGTCAAGGATCGTTTGTTTGCAGAGCACAGAGTCCTTTCACAGTGGCGAAGAAGGTGCTACCAGGATATATGCACTGAAGCAATCAATACTATGAGCTCTTGAACAAGACAAAAAGATTGATTCGGGGTTTCCGATACGCTTGCATAGATATTTTTCAGCAAAAGAATACTGTATTGGTCGTATTTTGTTGATGTTTGGGATAAAAAAGAAAGCATTGTGTTTTGTACGAAAAGGTTGCTCCATTAGTTGATATTACTACCACAAGAAAGCCATCAGAGACAGCTATTCATTGAAAATGTATTTATAGACAAAACTGCTCGTGGTTTGCAAGTGTTAAAAAGACTTCAAGCATAATTGGGGTAATCTAAAATCCTGTTTCAAAACATCGTAGGCCCATGAAAGAAGGAAGTACACCGACTTTATTCTGGAAATCAGTTCCTGTGATAATGGGTCGTCATTGCCACAGACCATCTGCATAGAAACTTGGAAAAAGCGACCTGATGGCTTTATGTCAATCCAGCGCTAACGCCGAAGACTTCTCCGTAGGAAAAGAGACATTGTATTTGTTTATCAAAGTCATTCTGTTTTACTTCAAGTCGTGATTTGACGGAGGTTTGACTATCCCAAACATGCATTGACCCATACGATTCAAAAATAAGTTCTATAGAAGCCGAGTAATTGCTGAAATCCTGGGCCATCGAATATAGATTTAATATGGAGCTGGGCAGCTCCTTTGACATTTGCAGATGGCGTGCCCAAGGTCACGAGGCCATGTGACAAGCTTTTCTAAAAATTTATTGAGACTTTTGAATGGCTGTGACATAAAATTAGACGTGTATCAGAACGTGCTTTCCAATTATTCTAGCAATGATGTCATACACCAACGGGTATTGCAGCAGAAAATAATCACTTACATTTGGAAAGACTGCCTCGAGTGGCTAGTAGACGAATTGGACATAAAACAAAAAAGGAGGAGAAGAGGGACAAAGAGAGAAGGCAGAAGATAATGGGCAAGTCAGCGAACATTTTTCTTTGTCGTCGGAGGTACCACATGGTTTTGTCAGCTCGTTCAAAAGGCACCCCTAGGAATTACCTGAATGATTATCCATGGGATGGACGCAGCAAAAGCGAATGGCCAACCCAAAAATACAAGAAGGACGAGCCAGAGAAGGCCAAAGATTGGATTGTTCGCCATTGTTCTAGTTGCTTTTGACGATTCGATTGTGTCTGACGTAGGGTACGAGTAGCTACAGGCACTTTAGTTGTTCTTGCTTTTCGATGAACTCAAGATACAGACGTGACACAGAACATCATCGAGAATCAATTTAAAAAAAAAACTACCATCGTTTAAAAAATGTCCGGGTAGAAACGTACGAGTACGTACGTACTGTAGTTCAGGAAGGAATGGAATTGAGGGAAGCGAACGGAGGAACGAAGTTTCAAAAAAATATTGTATCAATACATTAGCAGCGATGATACAAATCTTCTGAAGGCAATTGAAAACCAATGATTGAAAAGGGTTAAAAAATAAAAAAATACTGCAGTATAAACAAAATAACCTTCTGTACGATGAGACGTACTACCCTACGGTAATGTATGGACATGACAGTTGGAGTCTCGATGGCCTTCCTCTGCAGTCCAACCATACTCGTACCTGTCCGGTAGCGATACTCAAAGTAGTTCTGGTATGTTCGTCGAACATCTTTGATTTTTAATGCTGGGAATGAGCTCAAATGAGCACGGTTCGAGCCATGCCTCAGTTTGAAAGTTTAAGTCAAAATGGGGTTGTTCCGTTTGACAACATTGCATCTGCGATCATTTAGTGCTAACGTTACAGGATGTTTGATCTAGATATTAAAACAGGTTGGCAGAATGGTCTCGTCAGTTCAGGCGAAAGAATTTGACATTACTGTACAAGATCATTATCATTTTATTCTGTATTTGTTTGCGAAGATGTGTTGTCGAGTCGGATCCAAAGCATCCACTGTTTATGAAGTTTCTACGATCGTGTAATATCCCCCGACTTAATGCGGCCTTTTTTATATGAAAGTGATCGTCGAGATAACCTAGCATTCCTCAGAATGGCGCAGGGAAACTACTCTGGCCTTTGGTGATGGCATATCCAAGATCTCTGGGCCAAGTGATGAGCTTTTCGAGGAATTTGTTTATACTTTTCACAGGATCAGGCAAAAGCGCTTCGAATGGCTGCAAAAACAGTAGAATAACAAGATCAAAAATGAGAAAAAAGTCGCGTTTCACTTGTGACGGGGGAGCAAACGGATGCCGAACGGAATATTACGTACTTGGAGGAAGATCCAAAGCCAAGCACAAATCCAGGCAATAGGCCATGCCAGAAATACAAGGAAAGCGAGCCAGATTATGGAGAAGAAGAAGTTGTTGTTTCCCATTTTCGATGCTAAAAAGGTATCCTGTAACACAAGTTGGTGCTGTCCAGAAAAATCGTCGAGGAAAATAAAAAATGTGATTGTTGCTTTTCACTGTGCAGAGCGGAATTCTGTAATGAAGAAGTACGAATACTCGTCTTCTTGGGGAAACGATTCAATGCGGGGGTCTCGGAAAATGGGAAGGAAAAATGAGAATCAATTGGATTCAAATCCGAGATGATTGCGCCAGCCGCGCCAAAAAGGGGCGGGTGCTATCATGTTTATGATCTCAAAGATCTTGTGTTTTGTTACAGTACTTGATTGTACCATAGGTGTCGTACTGGTATGTATTACGTTGCGTACATACGGTACATGGTACATGGTACCTCGTAATTGTACAACATAATTTTGGGTGATTCTCGTTAATACGGTAGATGTGCTACTTTTGATAGACTGACTGACAGACGGAAAATTTAGCATAATAACAAAATTTATATCTTTTGATGGCAACCAAACTGGTGCTATCAAATGTAATAAATTTATGATGGAACAAATGAATCAAAATTTCAACAAGTCTGTTGAAACATTCAACAGACAAGAGCCTGCCAGAATCTTTAGTAGACTGAACTCAACAAAACTACGACTCACCAGCTATCCTAAACAAGAACAAAGAGAGGTCGTGCCTAGTATATCAACAAGAATGGCGCCCACACGCATATAACTATGGTTCCACATAAACTGTTTCCCAATCAGTGCTCATAGTAAGTGCATTCTATATCCTTTCTTTGTTGCAGCAAAGAGAGCAACAATACAAGGAGGCCAAGGAGGCTGGCAACCACAGAGAGGGTGAGCTCATTGTCACCCAACCGGCCTCAAAGAGGGAGCACATTGTCTCATTCCCCACACTATTTTTGTTCAATATGGCAAAAGCTGGCAACACCACTGACCAGAAGGCTTGTGTAGCAAATTACTCTCATGATGAGCTACTACTAGACAGTCTCATACATATGATACTTGAGAGGCTTCCCATTAGCACAGTTGACTGGCATCTCATTGTGGATGACCATGTAAAATTGTTGCCCGTATTTAGAAGCCAGTAATCCATCAAGACCAAGTATCAAGCAGTTAAGATCATCAAGAGCTCTACAGGAAATCCAGAGATGCCTGAGTATGTGAAGATCACGCGTCAGGCTCATATCTTGATTGGTCAAAAGGCCACCAATCTTGGTACTGGAGATGAGGACTTTGATATGAAGAAATCATTAAGAGTGAGGCTGTGAAGGGTTTACCAGCACCCAAAACTGGAGGAACAGCAACAGCCAGAGGAGCAGCATTGACTGGAATTCTTGCTGAAGGAGCTTTTGAAGGAGCATCAATTCTTCTTGCCGGAGAAGCATCATCTGCTGAAGTGTTGCCTGTAGCTGCTGTAGCTGGTGGAGGAATGTCACAAGCATCTTCTGTCTTGACACCTTATCTTGCACAATTTGACACCTTATCTTGCACAATTAACTCCTATCCCTATAAAGAGATCCTATCAGCAAAAGAAATCCAGTGTTGCAGCAGATGCTGTTGCCTTCAATGAGGAGTACATCAGAAATCAGGAAAAAGGAGACAAAGAGAATCGTGAGATGTGGAAGGACACTCTTGGAACAACACAATGCTTACCATTCTCACCATGGTCCTCATCTGTACCACCTGGTAAATCCTGCTGGTGGCTCATACGCTTCCACACTGCTTGAACCTCCAT